AAAATATTAATGACAAATTTTGTAACCGAAAATGGAGGGAAAATTTTAGAGGTTTTATTAAATGTTTTATTAAATGCTACATGCCAGCAATTATATATATATATAGATATAGATTTGTTTAAGTTAAAAAATTTTATTTTTATTTTTATTTTTCTTTATTTGCGGGACCGGTATTTTGTGTTTTTTACGGTATGATCCCGATACAAACCGGTATAACCGTAAATCAGGTACTTTGAGTATAATTTTGCCGTACCAATTGCCGGTATCCGGTATTACCGGCCGGTACGATACGATATTTAAAACATTGGTTCAACGGTCCTTTAAAAAAGAAAATAGCAAAAAATAGCATGAACCACATAAAGTGAAAAAGGCTCTAATCAAATCATCCCATACAATTTCTTGTGTTCTTTCTCGCATATAACTCGTTTCGATTGATTAACAAGCAAACAACATACAACCGTGAAAATCAATCCATCGGTATTACATCTCACGTAAATTCATGAAAAATTACAAACATGGGAGTCTACAAAATAGGTACAAAATGCTTATTATCAAGTCTCATCATGTTCGTCATTCGTCATGGTTGGTGTCCATCCATGTCACCTCATATAATAGCTCAGCCAGATTTGAATAGGAGTATCGCTTTCGAGTCCAAATAGAAGTAGACAAAATGATTTGTCTCATGAGTCACAAACGAACCTAAATGATGGTGGGTGAAAAATAACTAGTACAGGTTCTCAAAGAAAGAACGCAAAAAGCACTCTTTTAAATTTTCACAAAAGGGTGATTTCTGTTATGAATCTACTTTCGATTTAACTTCTAAACAAAACTAAAGCACTTTACAAGTTCTCCATCAGAGGCACAACTAAACTACGGTCAAGATTCAAGAACGGTTAAGAAAAAAGATCATCACCACCTTTCATGATGATTATGCATTAGTCTTTAGGTATTTATTAAATCTGGGAATTCTTGTTGATAGCAATTGAAAAAAAAAAAAAAAAAAATAAGGCACTTGATGGAGTCTTTTTTTAAGAGAGATCAGGTTATGAATGGGAGTGTAGGGAGCAAACCATTCAGTATTATGTCATCTGGAACCAATGGCCTTATTATAACATGCATACAATATCAATAAACCCCATATAATGTTATTGTGTCTACAATATCAATAATAACTATTAAAAGTACAACAAACCCCATATAATGTTGGTAGAGTATGAGTGAATTGGAGGGGTTATTTGTGAGAAATCGTCAAAAAAGACGTCATACACTAAACATTTCTTGCATTCAAGAAGCAAAAATAGGCATCATAAAGATACAATTTCTTCACCAACCAAGTTTGTTATTACCTTACGATTCCTAAACACCAAGTGATCACACCAAGCACTTCCACACTTCAAAAGAATGTATATGTAGGCAATTGATGCTGTATAACTAACCAATTTTCTGTAATCCTTTTGATCCATGATTCTTACTTTCATTGGGCTTCACAGTGCAACAATGGGCAAGATTGGATGATAAATCTGTTTATATAGTTACTCACCTTAAACCCATTTTGCTTAGAAGTTAAGGGTTGAGTAGAGGATAAAGATAATATTCTAAAACTCCCTGCCCATCTCCGATTATATCCCACCTTAACGCTAGGCCCTCTATGACCACCTACATTTTTTTTTTCCGATTATAACTTGCCAAGCACTATATAAATCCTACTTAACTCGCCTATCCATCGATTAGATCCCACCTAAATAGTGCTTAGCCATGTATAGACATTGAAAATAAGAACTAAATAAATTGCAAGATATAAGGTGCAAATGGTGAACCCCTTTTAAATTGAAAGGACAAGTGCAACGATAGCTCATATCACTTGAGCTACATGCTTGTAGCTGACGGGATCTAGTGCAATAGTATTGCAATAGTGCTCTAACAGGTAATAAATATTAATTAACATGCTTTTCCAAGAGTTGAACCGGTGACTACTTAATAGGAAATTATAGCCATCCAACAAATCTCTAGTTAATTGCATTCCCC